TTAAAGAAGTGTCATATTAAAGTATATTTTTATGTGTATGTGTGTGTGTGTTTCCAAGGTTTATCTCTAAAGGTTACTTCTCTCTCTCTCTCTCTCTCTCTCTCTCTCTCTCTCTCTCTCTCTCTCTCTCTTCCAATATTACCCTAAAATATGATTTGTTATAAGGGCAAATGTTAAAGAATTCTGTCCCAGTAAACAAAGTTGCAAGGTGGACTCATCAGGAGTATCATTCAGAAAAGTAGGGTTCTAGGGACATTGGATTACGCATCATATTAAATCTAAGTAATCACATTATAGTTACTGTCTTTGACATCCTTCATTGAAGTGTCTCTCCGAATGGATTATTTAGATCTAAGTGAGCACAATTTACTTACTGTTCCTCTGACAAGATGCCTTTGAAAAACACATTCTGTATCTGAGAGCCATTGGTCATTATCAGTGGCATATAAAGTTCCCTGCCTTTTGTCAGCAGTAAAATAAGATTAGATCATAGGAGCAGAGCCTCCTACCTCATCCAAACTATTTTCGCAATTATTGGAATTCCCTGTCTTTCTGGCCTGCCTGAGTACTATCTTTTATCAATTGGGTTATATTAGTTATTTTTCTGTTTCTGTGATAAAAGACCATGACCAAAAGCAACTCACACATGACAGAGTTTGTTTACATTTATTGTTCCAAACACTTAGAGTCCATGATGGTGGGGAAAACATGCCAACTGGTAGCACGATCTGGAAGCTGGCTGATGACAGTTCTTCCCCATACAGGAAGCAGAAAAAGAGAACTGGATGAAGAGTGAGGCTGTAAACTTTCAAAACCTACCCCCGGTCCTCCAACAGCAATGTACCTCCTACAGATTCTGTAACTTCCCAAATGTCATTATTATCTGGGAACCAGGTGTTCAAATACATGAGCCTCTGGGATAATTTTCTCATTCAAATCCATACCAAAGTTAATTAGAGTAAGACTATTGATTTGTGTGATCCAGTGGCCTAATTTTGAATCCTAAGTTGCCACCTGTGGTGGCATGACCTTCCTCAAGGTATTTATATCTAAAAATTTCAGAAAAAAAACATACAAAAATAATAGTGATGTGTTTTCTTGGGTGAATAATAATGATAAAGTGAGCAGACACGTGCTCAGAGCTTAGGATAGCATGAGGAACATGTTAAGAGTTCAACAAATTTGTGTCACTATTTATTTGTCCATGAAACTGATATCACCTATGGACCTAGGCAGGGCATCTAAATTTTATACTGACTGCCTATCATTCTAAAAACCTCAAAATTAATAGGATTATAAACTTGTTGTATAAAATGCATTGTAGCAAAGGTAGGCATGTCAGGTTTAGGCACTCTAGCCTGTTTTACCAGCTGCTGGAGCTGGTGGGAAGGTCCTGATAGGCTCCCTGACAGCACTGTGGTTCTTGTCTTCTCTCAAGCCTCTCCATGTTGTTGAAGTCACCAAATATCAGAAGATCAATCTCAATCCCTAACATACTTTCTTTCAGGATAATAAATTCATTTGTCGGGAATAACTGCCAACCCCATAGGACAAACATAATTTTTTTCACCTGAATTCTACTTTTCATTAATGACTGTATTGAATTGTTCCTAATATTTTCAGGCATATCCAACTTTTTGACATTGTGAGACTATGTTTCTAGATACAGAGTTCAATGTCAAGAACTACAAATTGAGTTTAAAAAACAAAAAAAAACCCATAAAATAATTTCATATCATTTTTTTAATCAGAATATTATTTTGTATGGCCACATGTAGATCTATCCCAGGGTATATGAAGCTCCCAAGTTGTAGCCTCACCATGACTACAAGCTTACCAGAAGCTCACTAGCCCAATATTGGCTTTCCAATAAAACTTTTCACCTAGGTAATCCAAGTGGACAACAATCTTGTCAAATTCATTGATCAGGAAAGACACTTTTGGCATTATTTTTTTTCAAATCCTATTGTATTATTTTGGTACTTTACTAACTGAATTTACAAGCTCCTCAAAGTTCTTCAAAACTCATTGAAGCCTTTTTCACTGCATAAAGATTAAATATACCATGAGACTCAGGTAAAGCACTGTCACAAGATCACTGTTCATAAACTCATGAAGGCACACACACACACACACACATAAATAAAAATAAATAAATACACCTATTATATTTGAAGTAGCATTTTATTTCTGGCAAAAGAAATATAAACTTTACTTGAACATTATCATAAGAGGAAAACAAATGGGCAGCCCTGAAAACATATGTACAAGTATTATTATACAGACTGAGCAGTTTATACTCAGAAATATGTTAAGTATAAACATGTACATATATGTACAAAATAAGAAGTAATATAAAATGCCATTAATTTGAAAGGAAGTACATATTAAAGTATTTGAAGTGGAAATATATAATTTTAATCTCAAAATACAAGAAATAATTTAATGATAAAAATAAGTTTTAAATGTAAAATAAGGGAACATACAGAAAAGAGGAGTATGTAACAAAATTTATATTCAGAGACATTGTAGTATTAAAATTATAATAAAATTTTCTTACATGATAGAATGTTTATAGAAATTTCTTGTGGCTTATAATCTACAATTAATTTGCTAAGGATTTTGAAGACTGCCTTCCACCAGCCTTCTTAGATACACTCTTAGTCTCTTTGTTCTTCACACTGTAGGCCAGAGGGTACATCATGGGCCTGATCATGGTGGAGAATAAGGTTACCATTTTGTGAATGCCCCCAAAGTAACTAAAGTTGGGTTGTAAGTACATGAACATATTGTTCCATAGAAAACTGAAACACTGATGAGGTGGGATGCACAAGTGGAGAAAATCTTCCAGCCTTCAGCTGGTGAAGAAAGTCTTTCAGCACTTCGAAGACCAATAGAGAGGAATCAACATTTATTGCTGCCAACATGAGCATTACCCATCTCATTTGCATGATTAATAAAGAGTCAGTAATGATATAATGTCACAGAGAAAGAGGTTAACAACATTGGAATAGTATAAAAATGGAAAGTGAAGACAACATGAATGGAATATTACAAGAGTCCACTGATATAGGAATCATCAACAAGCAGAACAAGCAGGACACATATGGTACTTGTCATGTTGGTGGAGTACTGTAGAGATGTACATATGGCTGCATGATGGTTTTAGGCCATTGAGGCTAAGATGCAACTTCCAATAGTTTCAAAATCTGCAAAGAAAAGCATCTGAGAAGCACATTCATTGTAGGATAAGATCATTTCTCCCCTGAGAAATCCCTCCACACCTTGAGAGTGACAGCTGAAACATAAACACAGTTTACCAGCCAGAGATTACTGAGAAAAAAAGTAGACTATACTGTGAGTAGACTCAGGAGCCAATAGAACAAGCACAACCATCCCAATATACCCAATCAGAATGATCCAAAACAGAAAAAATATTATAAATGATGGGTCTTACAGTTCTGGGGTATCTCTTAACCTCATATGAATAAATTCATTCTCCACTAAAATATTCTCCAGCAAACGCAATTGGGAATGATCATCACTTGCTCCTAAGAGGTGATGATGTAATAACATCTGAAGCATGATCAAGGTCATGATATAGCATCATTTCTTTTGTGAAAAATTTTACAAAAATTAGGCCACCCGTTCCTCCCCGCGCTGGGAGGAGGAGGAGGCGGCGCAACGCGGAGGAAGAGGCCGAAGTTGGTGCATGCACCCGAGCCTGACGGCTTTTAAAATGGCTACGGTGTTCAACCGGCCCCGACTCAGATATCTGTTGTAGAGGAGAAACACGTGAAGGTTTAACCTCCTTGCATCATGGCTCAGTTTGAAGGACAGAAGAATCCACCATGGACTACTCAGTTTACAGCCACTGCGGTATCACAACCAGCTGCACTAGGTGTTCAACAGCCATCACTTCTGGGAGCATCTCCTACCATTTATACCCAGCAGACTGCATTGGCGGCAGCAGGCCTTACCACACAAACGCCAGCAAACTACCAGTTAACACAAACTGCAGCGTTGCATTACAGCAGCAATATTCACAACCTCAGCAGGCCTTGTATAGTGTGCAACAACAGTTACAGCAACCCCAGCAGACAATTTTAACACAGTGCTGTTAAAGGGAAAACCCCTCAAGTTGGTGATAGAGTATTGGTCGAAGCAATTTATAATCCTAATATGCCTTTTAAATGGAATGCGCAAAGAATTCAGACACTACCAAATCAGAATCAGTCCCAAACCCAACCTTTACTGAAGACTCCTACTGCTGTTATTCAGCCGATTGTGCCACAGACGACATTTGGTGTTCAGGCACAGCCCCAACCCGTCATTACTGCAGGCCCAGATTTCAGCTGCTTCTATCTCACCGCTCCTGCAGACACAGCCGCAGCCCTTATTACAGCAGCCGCAGCAGAAAGCTGGCTTATTGCAGCCTTCTGTCCGAATAGTGTCACAGCCTCAGCCGGCCCGGAGACTAGATCCGCCATCTAGATTTTCAGGACAGAGTGACCGCGGGGATCAAGTACCTAATAGGAAAGATGACCGAAGTCATGAAAGGGACAGAGAAAGACGCAGATTCAGAGAAAGATCACCTCAGAGGAAACGTTCCCGGGAGAGGTCACCCCGCAGAGAAAGAGAGCGATCCCCTCGGAGAGTCCGACGTGTTGTTCCCCGCTACACAGTGCAGTTTTCAAAGTTTTCTTTAGATTGTTCCAGTTGTGACATGATGGAACTAAGGCGCCGTTATCAGAATTTATATATTCCTAGTGACTTTTTTGACGCTCAGTTTACATGGGTGGATGCTTTCCCTCTGTCAAGACCATTTCAACTGGGGAATTACTGCAATTTTTATGTGATGCACAGAGAAGTAGAGTCCTTAGAAAAAAATATGGCTGTTCTTGATCCACCTGATGCTGACCACCTGTACAGTGCAAAGGTGATGCTGATGGCTAGCCCTAGTATGGAGGATCTATATCATAAGTCATGTGCTCTTGCTGAAGACCCACAAGAACTCCGTGATGGATTTCAGCATCCTGCTAGACTTGTTAAGTTTCTAGTGGGCATGAAAGGCAAGGATGAAGCCATGGCCATTGGAGGCCACTGGTCTCCTTCGTTGGATGGACCAAACCCAGAAAAAGACCCCTCTGTGTTGATTAAGACTGCCATTAGTTGTTGTAAGGCTCTGACAGGCATTGATCTAAGTGTCTGCACACAATGGTACCGTTTTGCAGAGATTCGCTACCATTGCCCTGAGGAGACCCACAAGGAGCGTACAGTTCCAGCTCATGTGGAGACAGTGGTTTTATTTTTTCCGGATGTTTGGTATTGCCTTCCCACCCGCTCAGAGTGGGAAACCCTCTCCCGAGGATACAAGCAGCAGCTGGTCGAGAAGCTTCAGGGTGAACGCAAGAAGGCTGATGGAGAACAGGATGAAGAAGAGAAGGATAATGGCGAAGTGAAAGAAATCTCCACTCCTACCCATTGGTCCAAGCTTGATCCAAAAGCAATGAAGGTAAATGATCTCCGAAAAGAATTAGAAAGTCGAGCTCTTAGTTCCAAAGGACTAAAATCCCAGTTAATAGCTCGCTTGACAAAACAGCTTAAAGTAGAAGAACAGAAAGAAGAGCAGAAGGAATTAGAGAAGTCTGAGAAGGAAGAGGAAGAGGAGGATGATAGGAAGTCTGAGGATGATAAAGAGGAGGAAGAGAGAAAGCGACAAGAGGAAATGGAGCGGCGGCGTCAAGAAAGAAGGTACATTTTGCCCGATGAACCAGCCATCATTGTCCATCCGAACTGGGCAGCAAAAAGTGGCAAGTTTGATTGCAGCATCATGTCCTTGAGTGTCCTTTTGGATTACAGATTGGAAGATAACAAAGAGCATTCGTTCGAGGTTTCATTGTTTGCAGAACTTTTCAATGAAATGCTTCAAAGAGATTTTGGAGTCAGAATATACAAATCATTACTCTCTCTTCCTGAGAAAGAGGACAAGAAAGAAAAGGAGAAGAAAAACAAAAAAGACGAGAGAAAAGATAAAAAAGAAGAAAGGGATGATGATACTGATGATCCAAAACCAAAACGGAGAAAATCAGGCGATGATAAAGACAAAAAAGAAGACAGAGATGAGAGGAAGAAAGAAGAAAAAAGGAAAGAGGATTCTAAAGATGATGATGAAACAGAAGAAGATAATAATCAGGATGAGTATGACCCGATGGAGACGCCGAGGAAGAGGAAGAAATGAGCAAGGGAGACGTCAGCCGCTATTGCAAGGAGAGGCCCTCTAGAGACAAGGAAAAAGAGAAGACTCAGATGGTCACAGTTAACAGGGATCTACTGATGGCCTTTGTTTATTTTGATCAAAGCTATTGTGGTTACCTTCTTGAAAAGGATTTGGAAGAAATACTATACACTCTTGGATTGCATCTTTCTCGGGCTCAGGTAAAGAAACTTCTCAATAAAGTAGTACTCCGAGAATCATGCTTTTATCGAAAACTAACAGACACCTTGAAAGATGAAGAAAACCAGGAAGAGTCAGAATCATTGCAGGAAGACATGATAGGAAACAGATTATTACTTCCAACACCGACAGTAAAACAGGAATCAAAAGATGGAGAAGAAAATGTAGGACTTATCGTGTACAATGGTTCGATGGTGGATGTTGGAAGTCTCTTACAAAAATTGGAAAAGAGTGAAAAAGTAAGAGCTGAGGTAGAACAGAAGCTCCAGCTATTAGAAGAAAAAACAGATGAAGATGGAAAAACTATATTAAACTTGGAGAATTCTAACAAAAGCCTCTCTGGTGAACTCAGAGAGGTCAAAAAAGACCTTGGTCAGTTACAAGAAAACTTGAAGGTTTCAGAAAACATGAATTTGCAGTTTGAAAACCAATTGAATAAAACACTCAGAAA